AGCAGAAGTTGCTGTATGCCATGAGTGGTAGGAACATTTACTTGTCTAGCAATTTTGAAAAATTACTAGGAGCTGGGTGCAGATAGTAAGAAATTCCTGGAGCCACAATCATAAAGATGCCCCCAAACTTTGCTGGACTTTCCTTTTAGTTACCCCACCAAGTTCTCACAGTGAGGATCCAAAAAAGATCCCCATATGGCCATGGCAGAAAAAAGGAGGAGAAAGTCATTGTTCAATCTCCCAGATCCTTCTCTTCAACAAAAGCAGGAAGGTTTTGACTGAGGGAAACACTGAAAACTTATCCCAGGTGGAGGAAGAAAATACCACCCTACTTCACGTACTGAAAAGCAAAAACAAAAAACAGAGTGAACAGGAGACAGGACTTCAAAAAAACAGACTAGGAAACTGCAGTCAGGGAACAGAATGAAGAACATGGTAGTAGGAGGGAGCAATCCTTCTAGACCAGAGACAAAAACACTTACGAAGGTTATAGGTCCACTAAAAGATTGAGATTTAATCAGATTAAAGGACACTCCATCTCTCCAACACCTTACCACAACACCAACACAGTTCCAGGATAAGAAGAGTGGATTGGTGACAGCTAAAAGAGCTGCAGGATGCAGACTTTCTCTGGGGCGGAGTACTTAGGGAAGCCCAGTCAAAAGGGGAGACAAAAATAAGGATACTGGAGGAATTTGAAGTTTCTCATACTTATGGCTACAAGAAACATTAAACACAGCTCAACTCCTACTCAGATTAACATAAATATTCATATGAAAGCCTTAGTTACCTCAGTTCTCAGTTCTCGTTACCTGATAGACCCGGCTTACGACAAAAAAATTATGAGGCACGTCAAAAGCAAAAAAAACCAAAAGAAACAGTCTGGAGAGATAAAGCAAGCATCTGAACTAGATTCAGATATGAGACAGATGTTAGAATTATCAAACAAGGAATTTAAATTACTATTATTAATAGGCTAAGGGCCCTAATATAAAAAGTTGAAAACATGCAAGAACAATGCATAATACAAGCAGGAGATGGAAAGTACCAAAAAATCAAAAGGAAATGCTAGAAATAAAAAAAAAAAAAAACACCGTGAAAGAAATGAATATGCCTTCGATACGCTCATTAGCCTATCACATTAGCAATCCTAATACTTGACATTGCTGAGGAAAGAATCAGCGAGCTTAAAGACATGTCAATAAAATCTTCCCAACCTGAAATACAAAGAGAAAAAGAGTTGAACAAACAACGGAACATCCCAGGACTATGGGATAACACAGGTGATAAAAGTATGGGTGACATAAACATATCTGGAATACCAGAAAAAGAATAAAGAGGGGATAGGACGGAAGGAATATTTGAAGTAATAATAGCAGCGAACTTTCCAAAATTAAAGATAGACACTGACCCACAGATACACGAAGCTCAGAAAAACACCAAGCAAAAGAAATACACACACACACACACACACACACACACACACACACCCCTAGACATAGTATATTCGAATTGCAGAAAAAATGAAAGAAGGAAAAACTCTTGAAGGAAGCCATAAGGGGGAAAATAACACCTTACCTCTAAAGGGTAAAGGATAAGAACTACATTAGACTTCTCATCAGAAATCATGCAAACAAAAAGACAGTGTGGTGACATTTTCAGAGTGTTGAAAGAAAAAAAAAACTAACAGATAATTCTATATCCAGTGAAATCATACTTTAAATGTGAAGAAGAAACAAGGACTTTCTCAGACAAAAACTGAGAGACTGCATCACCACTAGTCTTGGCCTGCAAGACGTTAAAAGTTCTTCAGAGATAAGGAAAATAGTATCAGTAAGAAATCTGAATCTACATAAAGAAATGAAAGAGCATCAGAGGAAGAATAAATGAAGGTAAAATATATATAATATTTTATTTTTCCTATAACTATTCAAAGCAACAATAGAAAGAATATATTGGGGGGTTATAGTATATTGTAAGCGAAGTGAATGACAGCAATGTCACAAGGGATGACAGGAAGGAATTGGGTATACTCTATTATGGAGTAGCTGCAGTATACATGAAGCCTTATAGTATAGTGTTATCTGAGGGTAGGCTTAGATTATTTAAAAATGTGTATTTTAAGCTCTAGGATAATCACCAAAATTTTGTTTCTTAAAAAAATGTATAAACAGTACACCAAAAAATAAAAAAATGGAATTCATAGAAAGTGTTCAATCAAAATTAGAGAAGGCATAAAAAGTAGGGGAGGGCAAAGAACAAATGCATGGAAGTGGTAAAAGCTACAAAGATTATAAAATTTAATCCAAGTATATTAGTAATCACCTTAAATATGAGTGGCCTAAACATACCCATTAAAAGAACAAGATGATCCGTCTGGATTTTTAAAAAAGAAAACTTTAGCCAGGCGCGGTGGCTTACTCCTGTAATCCCAGCACTTTGGGAGGCTGAGGCGGGCAGATCATGAGGTCAGGAGATCGAGACCATCCTGGCCAACATGGTGAAACCCCGTCTCCACTAAAAATACAAAAATTAGCCAGGCATGGTGGTGTGTGCCTGTAATCCCAGCTACTCGGGAGGCTGAGGCAGGAGAATCAGTTGAACCCAGGAGGTAGAGGTTGCAGTGAGCTGAGATCACACCACTGCACTCCAGCCTGGGCAACAGAGCAAGACTCCGTCTCGAAAAAAAAGAAAAACTTCAAGACCGAATTGCACACTGTCTACAAAACATTCATTTAAAAAATAAAGACTTAGGTTAAAAGTAAACAGATGGAGAAAGAGAGACCATGTTAACCTTAATAAAAAGAAAGCTGGAGTGGCTATATTAGCTTAAGATAACGTAGACTTCAGAAAAGGAAAATAATCAGGGATAAAAAGGAATACTATATCACGATAAAGGAGTCAATTCTACAAAAAGACATAACAATCCTAATATAAATATATGTACCTAATAGAGTATCAAAATATATGAGACAAATACTGATAGAACTGAAAGGACAAATAAACAAATCTGCTATTTTTTATTTTTGTTGTTGTTCAGGTTAATGCTGAGCAAGGACAAACCCACTGTTATAGTTGGAGATCTGAATTGCAAGTAAGTTTCAAATCACGGAAGACTAAAACCAGGGTGCCCATAGTCCAGCTGATTCTTTAGTAGGCAGACAACTTAAACATATTTTAAGCTAATAACATAAACTCAAAGGAACATAGAAATATATTTTATAACCTTGTAAGATCTAGTATATTCTAATCCATATGTAGCAACTCATTTAGAGGTCTTATAATTTCTCTGTTTTAAAATCAATCAAAAATAATCCATAAGCTTTTCTTTCAGATCTCAGAACAGAAAGGAATTATACCTCTAACTGAGACATATAAAGAGCTTGGAAGTCATCACTCCCATCCTCATAATAAAAAGTTGGGCAAGCTGCAAATAAATGACATTTCTTGGACTTATCAAGTCTTTTCTTATAGAGACTCTAGCCACTATAGAGGAAAAAATAAGATTTTTTTCACTCAACTTGGATTCCCTCATACCTACAGAGGTTTTGGACTTGAATAAAGCTCAACAAATATCTACTGAATATCTGAATCTGAATTTTTCCACTAAATTATGTTCATCAACATTTATTTGTACAGCTGAGCTACTGTTTCACTAAAAATACAAAGTTCCAGCTGAAGTTATCTTCTAAATAGAAGATTTTGGTTTTATAGTCATCTTCTACTATTATCAAACAACTACCTGGTTTAATAAAACAATGAAATCAATTACGGTGAGTACACAAATTGTTCACAGAGTTAAAGCTCCACAGTGATTTACTATTAACTCTATTAATTTGTTGATTTGAAATGATCCACAAATTACCAATGCAAAGTAACCAATATGGATATAACTCTGAAATTAAGAGACGATTTGCAAAAAGATTAAAAATAAAAATGTGCATTATAGAAGTGTAACTCTTAAGGAACACACACATTTTTAAGTGTCAGAATTTTATCAATTTAAGTTGTATATTAGGGCATAAATAATTTATACCCCAACATAAACAAACAAAATGCAAATACAGAAGGACTACATTATTAGACAAATAATTGGGTCTAAAACATGAAAAATGTGAAACATGATTTTATCCCCCCCACCAATTTTTTTTTTTTTTTTTTTTTTTTAAGATGAGTCTTGCTTTGTTGCCAGGCTGGAGTGCGGTGACATGATCTCAGCTCACTACAACCTCTGCTTTCCAGGTTCAAACAATTATTCTGCCTCTGCCTCCTGAGTAGCTGGGACTACAGGTGCGCACCACCACACCCAGCTAATTTTTCTATTTTTAGTAGAAACTAGTTTTCACCATGCTGCCCAGGATGGTCTCTATCTCCTGACCTCAAGATTCGCCTGCCTCAGTCTCCCAAAGCACTGTTACAGGCGTGAGCCACTATGCCTGGCCTTTATCCCATTTTTGTATGTATAGCTAGAATAACAACTGAAGAGAAAATATAATATAGACTCTGTCATCTCTTTAAATTACATATTTCAACAATCACCCTCAATTTATTTCTATCTGGGTGAGTTAAATTAAAAATTTGAAATTTCATTACTTCCATACAACTCAGAAGATTAGCATCATATCTTTATAAAATACTATTTTGCAGTGAGAAATACCTATTTATTATAATTTGCCAAGCTTCTTCAGATAGGAGATGATTTTCATTTTACTCTACAGGGCATGGCCCATTTATACCTAATAGACACAAATTGATGTCCTAAAATAGGGCACATAGGGACAATTATTTACTGGATAAGAAGTACTGATATTCTTCCCCTTCTACCAAATACGTCTTTCAAAACTTCTCTCATCACTATGTGATTTATTAAAATTCAATTTTGCTCAACTTTCCAAGTAAAGTGATTATAGCAAGTAAAGTACATCTTCATAGGCTTGTAAATACTTCATATTTATTCCACGAGTCACACAGGGGAATGGAAAATATCATAGACCACTTACCTGACATGCATTATAAAGGAGCTGGTGTTCTAGTTTTTTAATACCCAGAATCTGCTGAAACATTTCATAGAGTTGTTCCTTGCTCAGAATAAGTTCAGACACTGCACTTAAGGTCATTCTATTTGGCTGTTTGCACAAGTCCTCTTCACCCCTGTAAATGGCATCATATTTGGCTATCCATGAGCTCAACACCGTCTCTTTGCTCAAGCCATCTATTTCTGGCAAACTCCGCACACGTTTTTCTATGTTTTTCTTAAATACTTCTCTGAAGTCATTAGCAGAACACCCTCCACTCTGAACCATTCTGGCCACTCGGTCACTCTTTAGAAAAACCTGAAAAACAAACAAACAAAAAAACCCAATTATAATTAGGTGTGGGCGCTAACACCACTTGCTTTCAGCAGTCCAGCCAGAGTCTCTACAAATATTTCAGCCAAATAGTCCACAATGATTCAAAATATTTTATAATACATGGTAACCAATGTCATAATGGTGGCCCCAAATCTCTCTAAAGTGTTAAAATGTTTAGGAGACACAGTATACAGTTTAAAAAAAAAAAAAAAAAAAAAAAAAACCTGTAAGATAGTTTACTTTGACCTGCATGTCTCCCACCTCTAAAACTAAATCCTTTAGAGTGATGTCCTTATGAATGTGATTTGTGCTCTTATACACAGACTCCAGAACTCTCTCATGCCTTCCACCACATGTGTTCAGAGCGAAAGGACAGCTGTCTATGAATCAGGAAGCAGGTCTTCACAGACACCAAATGGGCTAACATCCTGATTTTGGACTTCCCAAATCTCCAGAACTGTGAGAAATAAATGACCATTGTTTATAAGAAAAAAAAAAAAAAAGATTAGGAAAACTGGAGATATGAACCCAACATCCATACCTGTGTCTGAGAGTTCTAGTTGGTTTTTCAGCAAGGAGAGAATCCTCTATCATTTGAGTGTGGACTTGAAGACCAATAGTAGGGTAAGTCTAGTATCCAAGTCTATATTCGTCATATGTAATTTTTACTCAAAATTGCCCAACAGCTGGGAGGCTAGAATATACCTGTCCCCATCCCTGATTTAACACCTCCGCAACTTCTCACACACTTATCATAACTAGGAAGAATGCAGGCTTGAAAAAGCAATACCGCTAAGGGACTTCTAATTGTCCATTACTACTGGAAAGAAAATAAAATAAAAACAATGACAACCATAGGGTAAGATGTTTATGAGACAGGTAGCAAGGGTTGGGTAAAAATAAGTACAGTAATAAGGTCATATTTGGGAAGAGACACCAGATTTGGCCTTAAATCTCTCTATTCTGCTACGTTATGTATCTAAGTATCAGTTAAGATCCATTAAACATCTACTATGCTGTCAATATTCCTAAGAATCCTCTATAAGCCATGTAAGACTGCTTTTATTATTGCTTTATTCTTTCCATAATGTCAAAATATTCTCCCAAAAAAGCCTGCAGGACAATTTAATAGAACCTCCATAAATTTTTTGCTGTTATTGAGCTTACAGAACAAAAATTCATGTCAACTTTTTTTTTTTTTTTTTTTTTTGAAACAGGGTCTCACTCTGTCGCCCATGCTGGAGTCCATTGACACAATCACAGCTCACTGCAGTCTTGACATCCCAGGCTCAAACAATCCTCCCACCTCAGCTTCCCAAGTAGCTGGGACCTGCAAACACACACCATCATGCCTGGGCTAGCTTTTGTAATTTTTTTGTAGATATGGAGTCTCACTTATGCGGCTCAGGCTGGTCTCAAACTCCTGGGTTCAAGTAATCCTCCTGCCTTGACCTCCCAAAGTGCTAGGATTACAGGCATGAGCCACTATGCCTGGCCTCAACTTTTACCCTAAGAACTGACTCATTATAGTGATGTACTCCCAAGTTATGATCATACTACTTGCACCACACTTCTATGCCTGTCTGCATGTGGGCAAGCAGCACACCTGCTTGATACAGTCAAAGTGGACTCACTTGAACCACTGGCTGGCATGCTCAACCACCTGACCCCAAGCCTTTTCCCTCCACTTTAGTTCTCGCTCTTAAGGTCACTCACACTGTTTTTCTTGTTTCCTATCTTTGCTTAATGGCAAAAAGATTCCTGGAGCTCAAATATTTTGGTTGACAGACTTACATACTGAACCACTGGTAGTAAATTCTGCATTGGCAAATAAGATGCTCCTCAAACTACAATGAGGTTACATCCTAATGAGTCTGTCATAAGTTAAAAATATCATATTAAAAAAGCATTTAATACACCTAACTTACCTGAAACATGCTCAAAACACTTACATTAGCCTACAGTTGGGAAAAAAATCTTCTAATGCAAAGCTTACTTTATGATAAAGTGTTGAACATCTCATGTAATTTGTCAAATGTTATACTGAGTATGAAAAGCAGAACAGCTGTATAGGCAGTCAAAATATGGTTTCCACTGAGTTGTATCACTTTTGTACCATTGTAAAGTCGAAAAATCATAAGCAGAACTGTCATGAGTCAGGGATCCTTTGTGTGTGTAACACATTCCCAAAATTCTTCCTCTGTCTTTACCAACCCTGGCTCAATTACTTACTACTGGAAAGTCTCCCTGTCTTATTTTTTATGTTTTTAAGGCAACACAAATTAATTCTTAAGTGACAGGTATGTGAATAGTGCTTTAAATATTTCTATATCAAAGACAATGAAATTGAGATGTTTAACAATATGTTTTGTCTAAGAATGACAAGAACTACTCCAAAACTCAGATGTGTCTCCACCTCCCTTCTCAACCTCATCTAATCACTCTCATTGAGCAGTGACATTTAACATAAACTGTATATTTATAACCTGCATAAGAAGTATTCATATGCAATTTAAAACTATATTCACAAATATTAAAAGTATGTATACACATGATCTTATATATTACCTTATATACACATGATTTTGGTCTATTTGTACTCTAATTTGTGCAATATTTATATCTCAAGGTGGAACTCAGGGAAGCTCAGTAGTTAAAGGGATGGACTCTGCCACCTAATAATCTGTTGCTTCTCAGCTCCATTTTTCCACGTTTCCATTGCCCTGCCTGTGTCAGCTAACACATTTTTTTTTCTCTCTGTCACCCAGGCTGGAGTGCAATGGCATCATGTCAGTTCACTGCAAACTCCGCCTCCCAGGTTCAGGGGATTCTCCTGCCTCAGCCTCCTAAGTAGCTGGGACTACTGGCTTGTGCTACCATGACCAGCTAATTTTTGTATTTTTAGTAGAGACAGGGTTTCACCATGTTGGTCAGGCTGGTCTCGAACTCCTGACCTCATGATCCGCCTGCCTCAGCCTCCCAAAGTGCTGAGATTACAGGTGTGAGCCACGGCGCCCAGCCAGCTAACACAATTTTAAGCAACGTCGGTAGAGGCTGCCAGAGGACGTACACTGGAAGAAAAAGGGCTGTTCTTCCTGGTTCTCTTCTTACCTGAAGGCATGTGGCAGCAACCCTTGGGCAGCTTTTCTCCAGATCCCTAAGAATGGTCTCCCAATGTACCATCCCCACTGGCAGATTCCCAGTGAGTTCTGCAGTGTGGCACCCCTCTGTGGACACCTTCCCCCTAGAACCACAGAAGGCCAATCCCCTGCAAGTCTCCCTACAACACTTCAATGAACTACTCTGCCATGCAGTGAGACACACCTTCTCCAGTGAGGTCTGGATTCCAGCCCTGGGGTAGGGGGTGCCTCTTTGGGTACTCTGTTCCCTATTTCTGCTACTCCTATATTCTTTAGAGTTTTCTTTACCCACAGTAACCAATTTATTATTGTTTATATTAACTGTTCCCTGTTCAATTATTGTGTGTTCTGTCTTCATAGTGCACTCTAACTGATACAAAAACACGGAAGAACTGCAATATTGTCCCTATAGGAAAATATTCTAAGTCAAAACAACCAACTTTGAGAAATTTAGTAATGTGTGTATCGTTTGACCAGCAAGACATAAAGTGAAGTATGAATACCTAAGGAGGGGCATCAGAAAACCCTTTAATTGCTTAATTTCTAATACACTAAATTGGCAGGCATTTTATATTTTCCCACTTCTTCTGCCTAACGGAGTCAGAGCTAGATTCCACCAAGTAACCAAACCACATTTTTGAAACAAGGACACCAAGAAACTTACATTTTTGAATTCATTTCCCCTACAAAACCATACTGAAACCATACTCAATCCAGTTAGATGTAATATAATCAACATTTAGTAAGTGTTAACAACATTTCAGGGATTCTCTTAAGTGTTGGGGGCACAAGGAGAAATGAGCCAAAGGCCTTGCCTTCAAACAGTCACAGCACCTGAGAGAGACAGGATACACATGAAAATATAATAGTGTGATGGCAGCAATGGAAACCCACAGAGGGAGAAAAGGCAAAAGAAAAGAAGTTATTAACTCTGTTTGGGGGCCAGAGTATGAGAGGAGAGGAGCACAGGGCAGAGACAAGGGACTCATGTTTTGAACAACCCATGAATTGTGTGACAGGGAAAGAGAGAAAAAAAGGATACTTCAAGAAAAAGAAAATAAAAGAACAATGGAAATAAAGCACAAAAGAATAACACTGCAAGGTCTTTTGAGGGAAATACAAGGACTTACATACTAGCAGGGACATTCACTATAAGAGTGGGGGCCAAGTGGGGGAGGGAGGACTCTGGGCTCTATATGGTGACGCAGAAGTCAAGGGTAGCTGGGTAGCCAAGGTGCTAAAATGGTGAGAAGCATGCGTTAGGTAACTGGTGGCAGCACCAAGGGTAGACAACAAGTGACCAGAGCAGACACTGGGACATCAGTTATCACATGAACACAACAGACCTGGTGGAAAACAATAAGGGCTAGGACTAGGCTAGAGAGAAAGATGGAGTTAATGAGGATGTGGGAAATAGAATGAATGTGTCTTGGTAATTTACAAAATGTGGAACATAAGACAAGGAAAATTGGAAAATTGCCTGGTTTTTACTGGGGTGTCTAGATTCCAGTAACCAAAAATAAAGAATACAGGTGGAAGCCCATGTGTGTGCATTTGTATATGGTGGTGAATGTTGGGAGAGTCATGGAAAATCAGTTTAGTTTTGGTACAGGTCAGCTTTGGAGACAAAGTATGGTAAAAAAACAAAACAAAACAGAAAGAATCAAGACAAAATCTTCTGAAATGCCTACATTTTAAAATTTGGCAAAAGAACTGGATCCATGGCAGGTTGGTGGTGTCAGAGTAGAAGAAAAAATATGGATTTACTAGCAGTCAAGAAAGGAGATGGTTTCAGGATAAGAGAGACGGAGACAGTCTCAGTCAAGATAAGAGAGATAGAGA